AGTTTTACGTTTTGAGAAGAAAATAGGAAGGAAGAGCAGTTACATTATCGACACGACGTAGTTGTGGACAACCGATTGCTACTAGTTAGTTCGCACGGCGCTCGTTGGCGCTACGAGCAACCGCCCCGCTTGCCCCCCGATCCCTGCGCTTATTCCGCGATTCAGTGACGCGTTGTGTACATAATATGTACTACATATGCGATGGTATAAAAATAGCATATATACAATTGTTTGGTACATACTTATCGTATGTGAATGGTCAATGGCCGCGAGTCCAAAACGTCTGAAGCAAATAACCAGGATGATTATATCGTCATCTGTATCAACAGCAAGATGAAATGCGATTGTTATCTCAGTTTTACTTGAACATATCACTCATGGCCGTTCGAGAATGTGTGGACTTGCGACTAAAATGGCTATGTTTATCGTGACCGCGAAGAATGTGTTGTTGGTCGCATTCGTTTTGTGCTGCGGCGATTTTTTCTGCAACAGTAAGAGATTTTTGTTGCAAAGTTATATTACTTTTTCCATTTATTTTTTATTATTTGTTTTTTTACACAAAATGCAATTATTTATTTTGCACGTGGACGTTGCTAAGTTCATTTTTATGTTACTGGATGTGTGTAAATTTTTTGTATATATTTGTATTAAATATATCTGTATTTACATGTTTTCTTGTATTATTTTTGTTGGATTAATATAATGAGGATATTTAGTATTGTGAAACACAATACTGTCAAGTTATCATTAACAGGACATTATTGTTTTCTTTAGGCTCACCTGTTATACTGTATGCTACTCACAAGGATATCAGAATAGCAAATGTGTCTCGTATCAATAAGGTCAACATTATTGTTAAAAATCTATCAGAAGGTGCTGCTTTAGACTTCTACTATGAACGAAGACTGATTTGTTGGTCTGACAGTAGCCTGGAAATGATACAATGCATGCGTTTTAATGGTACATACACAGATAAACAGATGGTTATAGTAAACACCAGCTTAATCTCACCAGATGGACTTGCTTGTGACTGGTATACTGGCAAGTTATACTGGACCGATGGTGAGAAAAATCGAATTGAAGTGATTAGTATTGACAGTCGACATCGAAAAGTGCTCTTCTGGACAGAGATTTATCAACCACGTGCAATTGCACTGGCACCAATGCGCAGTCTTTTTTTCTGGACCGACTGGGGTGATGTGCCCAAGATTGAACGGGCTTCCATGGATGGTGATCCACTCTCGCGCAAAATTATCGTATCTGAGGATATATTCTGGCCAAACGGCCTGACGCTTGACTATGACAAAGAGCTGATCTACTGGGTGGATGGTAGACTTTGGTTCATTGAAGTAATGAATTATAAAGGTGAAGATCGACGCAGGATTATTAGCGAGGGTTTGGATTATCCTTTCGCCATTACACTGTTCGACAATCGACTTTATTGGACTGACTGGAAAACTTGGTGCATACATTTCGTCGACATACGTCAGTCACAACCACATCCTCGTGAGCTGATTCAAGAAGAAAACATACCTGGTACCTTTGCAATCAGTCGGTATTGCTTGTTTTGTACATTGTGCAATAATATATTTGTACTGAATTATGTTTTTTTAACACAACATCCGCTATTTTTTGAAAAGATGGATATTATTTTACTTAATAATTAAATACACTTTTTTGTTTTAGGAGACATTGAAATTTTTGACATGAAAAGGCAACCTTACGGCGACAATTCTTGCAAACGGAACAACGGCAACTGTTCACACCTGTGTCTACTTAGCGAGAATCCGCGTGGTTATAGCTGCGCCTGTCCTACTGGTGTCAAGTTGGTCGATAATTATACGTGCGCGAGCAGACCGGAGCAGTTACTGTTAATCGTGCAACGTAACGAAATCTGCAAGATCTCATTAGACTCTCCAGATTATACTTACTTTGTGTTGCCGCTTAGCGATATTAAGCATGCGATCGCGATCGATTTTGATCCAGTGGATGAGATGTTGTACTGGACTGATGAGCAAGCATTCGCTATAAGGCGTGCTTATCTAGACGGATCAGGACAGCAAGACGTCATTCTTACGGAAGTATGTGATATTCACAGACTTTGTTCTTTCTCGGAAATTTACAAGTTGCAAAACTCTATTTTAAATCGATTGCTATTTGATGCGATTTCTACAGGTAACGAATCCAGATGGTATTGCAGTCGATTGGGTAGCTCGCAATTTGTACTGGACGGATACCGGAACTGACAGGATTGAAGTGGCGCGGCTCAATGGCTCTTGCCGGCGGGTGTTAGTGAACGGAGACTTAAACGAGCCACGAGCAATTGCGGTCGCGCCCGAACACGGTTGGATGTTCTGGACTGATTGGTACGAAAAACGGCCGAAGATCGAGCGCAGTAATCTCGATGGTACAGAGCGCGTGCTATTGATCAGCAAAGACATCATATGGCCAAATGGTATCGCGCTCGACCTGGAACGAATGAAGATTTATTGGTGCGATGCCAAAACCGACAAAATCGAAGTGGCTAACATGGACGGCACTGACCGGCGCGAAGTTATTACTGATAATTTGCCACATTTGTTTGGCCTAAGTCTACTAGGTGATTATCTTTATTGGACCGATTGGCAGCGGCGTAGCATTGATCGTGCGCATAAACTCACCGGCAGCGATCGCGAGGTTATTATCGATCAAGTGCCGAATGTCATGGGAATCAAAGCCGTGCGTTTTGGTCGAGTAAATACTAGCAATTCGCCGTGCGCCCGCAACAATGGAGGTTGCAGCCACCTTTGTCTTAATAGACCTAATAACAGGTGCGTTTTACACTAAAAAATATAAACATAAACCGAATCGTAATTTGCAAGTAAATTTAATGTGAAATTAAAAATCTGTATAGATACGTCTGCGCTTGCCAAATCGGCTACGAATTAACGAAAGACAAGCGCACATGTATTGTGCCGGATGCTTTTTTGTTATTTGTGAAGAAAGAAAACATCGGTCGAATTAGCATCGAAAACGCTAACAATGACAACATTATACCTGTTACTGGTGTTAAAGATGCTAGGTTGGTAGAATTACAAATATAACTAATGTATATAAATATCTTTATATATACTATATTTTATTAGAATTTTTGACTTTTTAGTGCTTTGGATTTCGACTTGAACGAAAATCGCATTTATTGGACTGATATCAAGTTAAAAACTATCACACGTGCCTTTATCAATGGATCGGACATAGAAAGAATAGTCGATCTTGGCTTGGAATCTCCGGAGGGTATTGCGTTTGATTGGATCGCGCATAATCTTTATTGGAGCGATACTTATACGCGTAGAATAGAAATGATCAGACTGGAAAGTGGCAGCAGAAAAGTGCTTCTTTGGCAAAACCTTATCGAACCTAGAGGCCTTGCTCTGGACCCTGAGAGAGGGTGAGAAAAGTTTTTTGTTGTCTTCGTAGTTTTGATGGTTGGATATTTTGATTTTTAATTTAATTTAATTGTTTTAAAATGTATTTAAATATTTCACTACTTTGACGTTTTCTATACAGCTACATATATTGGGCCGAATGTGGTGGTTCTGGTAGCATCGAGAGGAGTTTACTAGACGGCACAAAGCAACAAATAGTGGTCTCAGACAGTGGCCGTGCAAACGGTCTGACAATCGATCACGCAGAGCATAAACTATATTGGGCCGATCCAGGCGCGATCGAATGTTACGATCTAGTAACACAACGTCGCAAGGTCATCATCTCACAGAAGATTCTTTATCCGTTCAGCGTCACGCAATATCGGGACTACATTTACTGGAGCGACTGGAATACGGGCGACATTGAGCGAGCAAACAAGCATTCCGGTGGAAATCGTACTAAGATACATCACAAGTTGGAATCTGTAACGGATCTCAAAGTATTTCACGCGTCACGACAAACCGGCAGAAATCCGTGCGCAGTTGCAAATGGCAATTGCAGCCATCTATGCATTGCTCTACCAGGACCGAATGGCAACTCTTCCGTTGCGCACAAATGCTCGTGTCCTACACATTACAGTTTGGCGCATGATGATCGTATATGCCTGGCGCCTCGTCGTTTCATTATTTACAGCCTGCGCAACACTGTAGCACGTTATTTGCCCGATCAAACGGACGATTGTGCGGATATAATGCTACGCATACCGGGTCTGAAAAACGTGCGTGCGATCGAATTTGATCCGGTGACGCAGCATATCTACTGGATCGATGGTCGTACTTTGTCGATCCGTCGCGCTCTCGAAAATCGCACGCAGCAGCAGCATAACAGTGTAGTCGTTGTACCCGGCGGTACCGGTCATCCGTTCGATCTTGCTCTCGACCCGCTTGGTCGATTACTGTTTTGGACGTGCATGGAGAACGACGCCGTGAACGTTACGCGACTGGACAACGGTTCAACGCTGGGTGTTGTCGTGAAAGGCGACGGCGAGAAACCGCGCAACATCGCGATACACTCGCAGCAACGGCTGCTCTTCTGGACCGATGTGGGAAAAAAGCGGGTGTTGCGCAGCAAACTGGACGGCAAGGAGCGCTACATGATTGCCGAAGGTTTACCGGAGCAGCCGACTGGTCTGGCAATTGATATCACAATTAACATTATCTACTGGGCATATGGCAGACAGATCGATTGCTCCGACTTCAGTGGTCGTAATCGCAAGATTTTAATAGCCTCTGCCGCACAGCAAAGCCCAGTAGTGCATCTGGCTGTGCTTTTCGATTATCTTTATTGGTACAATCGTGATGAGCAGGTATAATATTATATACATTATAATTATATAATATCGAAACGAGTTCATTTATTCTCTATTATCAATCGTCTTAAATATGACTTGTCTATTATTTGTCTATGTTACAGACACTCGAGCGAATCAACAAAACATCCGGTAGCGCGACTGGCGAGCGAGTCGCTCTGATGTCAACGAGTCGCGCGCTTACGGATATTATCGCTGTCAACGCGCAAAACGATTTACTCATGAAAATGCATGTGTGCAGTCCCTTTAACGACTACGGTGGTTGTTCGCACCTCTGCATCAGCAACGACACAATCGCCAACAATGCTTCGGTGACACCACGTTGTTCGTGTACACGATCATTGGCTCTATCCGATGACGGACGCACTTGCCGCGCCGCACCTGCCTGTGGCAGTGATCACTTTACATGCGCCGCACCAAGTTCGGTTACGAGTAAAGATTGCATACCGGTGACGTGGAAGTGCGACGGCCAGACCGATTGTCCGGACGGCAGCGATGAATTAGGTTGCCCTGTATGCACACGCGATCAGTTCAAATGTCAAAATCACTGTATTGGTAAGCGACAAAAATATTTTTTATGTATATATGTATATATGTATATGATTTTTTATATGTATATATATATATATATATATATATATATACACAGGGTGTTCCAGAATTGCTGTACAATCTCTCGTAGGCAGGTAGAAGGAGTAAAACTGAATCGAAAAGTCCTGAACCATTTTTTTCTATTACTTATAATAAAAGAGTAATTATTGAGTAAATCAGGCCAATCAGCGCCGACCTTTAGCCAGGCGCACGTCAGTGAGCCGCGCTCCCACACACCAGGCGCGCAGGTGTCCCTATATATATATATATATATGATTTGATATATGAATTATAATTTTACTTTTTCTCGCACAGACATAAACTGGGTGTGTGACGGGAAACCACAATGTTCAGATGGATCCGACGAGGCGCACTGCTGCACAACAGGTCAATTTCAATGTCTCAACAACGGCGTGTGCATTCCCGGTTCAGCGGTGTGTGATGGTTGGGATGACTGCGCCGACGGCAGCGACGAATCGACACCGACCTGTGCTAGCTTGCACAATCCTCATCGTCAAGATGCTGGCCCAGATGTCACCGGTGAGTCCAGCAACGTAACTTACGTCATCGTGGTCCTGGTGGTAATGTCTGTGATAGCTGCGATCGTTCTCAGCTACTATTACTGCCGTAAAAGGTAAAATTGTTAATGCGTTATTTGTTATTAAGAAAAAAATATGAATTTTTTAGGATAATATCTTGTATTTTTATTTTGATATTGTATTTTTATTTAGATTTGTTGGAAGCGAGGGTCTGCCTGATATACTTCACGACTCTGCGGGAGATCCATTGTCGCCAAAATCCAGCAACCGAATTGTGAAACCGATGTTCACTTCACAGAAGAATAGAAAAGATGGAACAGGAAGCGTTCTCAGTGTTGGCATGGATGCTGTCAGGATGTCCATGTTGAACGGGAGTAGTCTTGGCTCCAGCTACGACCGCAGTCACATCACAGGTAGTGTGAATAAAATTACGTTGAATTATAAATTAAGTTTTAATAATTATTGTTCATAAAATTAGTGTAACAAACCTTATGTTTTTGCAGGTGCGTCGAGTTCTACGAGGGGTAGCTCCGCGGGTGGATATCCTCACGAGACACTGAATCCTCCACCAAGTCCGGCAACGATAGCTAGCTCAACTCGCTGCTCGAGCAGCAACGCGTCGCGTTACAAACCGTATCGTCATTATAGAAGTATAAATCAGCCGCCACCGCCGACTCCGTGTAGCACCGACGTCTGCGACGAGTCTGACAGCAACTACCCGGCTCGTTATCGTTACGAGAGCGAGCCGTTTCCGCCGCCGCCCACGCCACGTTCCGTTTACCATAGCGACGCGGCGATCAGCTGCCCACCATCCCCTAGCTCAAGATCATCCACATATTTCAGTCCTCTACCGCCTCCGCCGTCACCGGTACCTTGAGGTTTCTCTCAAAGAAGTAACGGGTAACGTATTTATACCGTCTCTGCTTTACCAACATATTTCAGTATTCTTGCCATTTCTTTGTTATTGCGCATACAAAAAAAACCTTGGTATAAAAGAGATCTGATTGTAGAACATAAAATAGCAGACTGTTATCTAATTCATGAAAAGATATGCGGCAATTTGATGATAAAATGCACAAGGAACATTCTGTCGATCAAATTTACTTATAGTAAATACGTGTTTATCTTTTCTTAAATTAATACGAGACCGAGTCTGTACACAACAGAGCAAAGTTTCATCTTTGCTATACAATCGATTTCACTTTTTGTTTACAGTTTCTGACGGTTTGTTGTTTCGCAGTCTTTGATAAGACAAAAACTCAATTACAGTAATAATTATTTTGTGTTATATATCTAAAAAATTTTCAAAAAGTTGTTTTTTAAAAATTACTAATTTACATTGACGCACAACAAAGTTTTCCGACCTTTCAGACAAATAATAATATTGCAATAATGTTAATATTCTTAAAATTAATTATTGTCAAACTAAATATTAATACTGTCACTTGTTGCTAATAACAATAACAGTTAATCTCTTTCAGATTTTTTCTGAGATTTTTGAAAAAATATACACATATTGTGATTCAGAAAACTCACTTTATAATTAATAGTTTTCATTGTTATTATAATTAATAGTTTTCTTAAACTCAAAACACTAACAAGTGGCAAGATTCTTAAATTATAGCAGAGAAAATATTACCATTAATATAAGTTACGTACAATAATGAAGAGTATGCCAATTCGTGCCTATCTGCGCGTGTGTGTACAATGCGACTTGCATACTTATACACGCGCACGCGTACTATATTCACAACTTTTTTTTATAAATTTTATGTATAGAGAGAAATAAGTATTCTATTGCAATAATATACTTATATATATATATATATATATATATATATATATTAGCATCAAAACTCGAAGTCCGGGCAGTTTTAGGATTGACTGGTCAATGCCCGAAAAATCTAACCTAACTTTAACCTTTTTTCCGGTATTGACCAGTCAATCCTAAAACTGCCCGGACTTCGGGTTTTGATGCTAACATATATACATATATACAGGGTGTCCCAGAATTGCCGTACAATCTCTCGTAGGCAGGTAGAAGGAGTAAAACTGAGTCAAAAAGTCCTGAACCATTTTTTTCTATTATTTATAATAAAGAAGTAATTATTGAGTAAATCAGGCCAATCAGCGCAGACCTTTAGCCATACGCACGTCAGTAAGCGCTCACACACACGAGGCGCGCGGCTCACTGACGTGCGTCTGGCTAAAGGTCTGCGCTGATTGGCCTGATTTACTCAATAATTACTCCTTTATTATAAATAATAGAAAAAAATGGTTCAGGACTTTTCGACTCAGTTTTATTCCTTTTATCTGCCTACGAGAGATTGTACGGCAATTCTGGGACACCCTGTATATATATATATATATCTTCTTAGTATGTATCTTTGTAAGTATAATTATTGTATCGTAAAATATGCATGGAGACGTCGGAAAAGATATTAGAAAGATAGTCTCAATGAACGCTTCTCCTGTTCGCGAATACGTAACATATGACATTTAATTGTGATATAAACGTACACTATACATTATTATTATTTTATTTGTAATATTACTGTTAACAGTGTGTTGTCTATATAGTTTACTCATATTAAATAAAACAGTTAAAAGCGAGGACAGTGGTGACTAAAAGCTGCAGTTATATGTATTGTCAGACTTTTGTATATATATTTTATTATTAATTTTATAACACTTTGTTTTTATTTGACATTTGCACATCATACCCTGGTATTTGTTTCTTTTGAATACATTTATACATTTTATTTTATATGTACATAAAATGATGCAAACACAATGAAAATTGCGTTACCTTTCAAAAGTTATGTTGCACTAAGTTTAATGAGAGAAAAAGAGAATCGAAATGGATGAAAACTCGTTTGCAGAGATGTCATATCGCGCTTGACAGCAACGAGAGTATCGAGGCTTGAGGCGGTGAGCCTCCACCTAAAGCCTCTCGTTGTTGTCCAGCGCGATCTGGCATCTCTATTAGTGACTGATATGGACTACGTTCGGTAACATAAGATTTTGGTTATTTCAGTGGGAAAGTAGTGAGTAGTAAGAGAATATTGTGTTCTCGGATCTCGGATGTCACCTAGTACTTATATGTTTACAAATGGAGCGTTATCAATACTTTTAAAACATACGTATTAACATTTATAGAATTTGATGACGTATATTTAGTAAAATAAAAAAAAACGCTAGGATAGTTTTGTTGTCACAAAATATAGAGAACATATATGTATATACTAACATATTATCTTTTTCTCACATCCTGTATACTCATATATCTGAAGATCAGTTATGTGTCACATAATTAATTATTTAAGCATCTGAGTTTGCTAGTTAACAATCTTTACATTTGTTCACTTTTGTAATTTTCACTTCACATTGTATGATACACAATCGATATCGTAAACGACAAAAAATCCAATATAAATATCCACATCTATTTTAATATCTATTACTAACAAAATGTTATATTATATTATTTTAGTTTAGTTAAATTTTAACTTGTAAATATATCAATTAGAGGAACAGCTTCCGACAACCCTGAGTTTGTTATATGTTATCAAGGTTATGACCCTAAGTGACCTTCAAAAGGTTTTAAGTAATGCTTACCATTCGTTGAAAAGTTATTAACAAAAAATGTGTATAGAGAAAAACGAAAATTTTGCCTTTTACACATATGCCTCTTACACATAATATACGATAATTTAGACGTAACATGTCTTATATATAAATGTTTAGTACAGAATAAATAAAAGAATAATTATAAAAATTACGATAAGCTTGGAAAGTACATGCTTAGGTGGGAGAACGCACAAAGGCTACGCCCGTCCCTGGGTGCACTTTCCTACATAAAAATAAAGTAACAAAACTTGGGGATGAAGAAAGTATCAATGGCCGAAAGTACCACTTGGTGCTCTGCTATCTAAGCATGTACGTTCCAAGTTTATCGTTATTTTTATAATTATTCTTTTATTTATTCTAAACATTTACATATAAGACATAGTCGATGACGACATGAAAACAAAGATGTATGTTTATATAATATGTCAAGTTCAAAGTTATACAAATTATTTACTTGAGAAATGTACGATATCCAAACCTAAAGGTTTATTTATAAAACTTCTTTTGGGTACAACTGTTTAATAAACAGCTGTTTTCAAGATCTCCCGATTGATTCCTTATTTTAGTGATGAAAAAGTGTTTTTTAAAAAACCGGATTAAGATAGACAAAATTTGGGGAAAAAGGACGCACATATCTGAGCAATTACTAACATTTTTTGTTAATAACTTTTTAGCGATCAGTGAACATTATTTAAAATCTTTTGAAGGTCATTCAGGGCCATGATCTTGATAACATATGTCAATATCAAGCTTGTCAGAAGCTGCTCCCCTAATCGGCATATTTACTTTTTAACTTTTAGAGAACTGACATTTTTTTTGAAATCTTGTAGATTTAATATCTAAAACTTATAAACATATGTAAACATATATATCTTATGCAAATTTATGGTAATTTAGAGCCACTATAATGGTTGCCAATCTGTTAAGGACTAATCATTTCATAACTTCAAAAATAATACTGTTCAAACAAAACTAATGTTTTATAAACATTTAAAAAAACATTAGCTCATATCTTTGTTATAACTGTTTTGTATAAAAACGGTATTTTAAGTTTATTTAAAAATAATATTTTAAATTTATTTAAAAGCGATATTTTTAATTTATTTAACAACATTTATCTTGATGTTTTCTTTTTCTTAACATAACGTTATACGTTAAATCAATAAATTATTGATTTTTTTCTATACATTGTTGCTTTTACAATTATAAAGTTATTTATGATTTCTATTTACAATCGCTTCAAAACAAACATATTTCACTTAATTTACTGACTCCTACTTTTTTGCCGAGTGTGAGTTGGGCTACGTTTGGAAACACTACTCGTGTGCACACGAGCGTCATTCTATCTTTGTTTTTTATATCTGATGAGTAATAAATGATATAATGCATGAGTAGTGTTTCTGAACGCAGTATTGGTGGCATTCACTATGATCCTTTTTTATGTTTCCGAACGACATCATCCGAGAGCACTCCGAGCTTCCGAGCGCTTCAAAACAGTTAGTGTATATTAGTGTATACACGAGTTGTGTTTTTGAACGCAGTCATGAAAAGAACAAAAGCGTTTCGTTTTGCTTGGACAAAAAGGACGGATGTTATTATAACGTTTTTTTTTTTGTTTTTTTTTATATTAACATATTTTTGATAATTATTGATTTATTATTTTCAAAAGTAATAATGAAAAATATTCTAATGAAAACTTTTTGCAATAATATCTTTCGTTTTATGCATAATCGAGCTTGACTATAGCTGTAGTCAGCTATTAAACTGTTTTTTTCTCATTAAATATAAATATATGTAATGATACATTAATGAAATATGTATAAATTCAACGACACATATTATGCATAAATGCATATATATACAAAACTATACATTGCAGGGCTCCGATTGTCAAGAATTTTGTCTAGATCGACTGTTGTATAAAGAGATCCCGTTAACTGAGATCTCGTTTGTGCAGAACATTTTTGCGCAGATTCCGATTGTTCACAGTGATCATTGTACAAATTTCGTACTTGATTACACGTTACACAGAGCAGTATTGCACATACACCATGTTATTACATAGATGACTTTGTTGCACAGAAGCATCATTGCACGTATCAACTTAAATATAAAAATGTTACTATTCTTAGTAAATGTATTTTTCAATTAGACAATGCATACATTTATCACGACACATTAGTAAAAACATAATATCATGATAAAGGAAAGTAGATGCTTAGGTAGGAGAACATAAACAAAAATAAAACTTGGGAGTATGGAAAGTATCAAGGTCGAAAGTATTGCGTAGAAGTTCTAAAGTATTTTTGTTTATGCTTTAAGTTGTGTGGTTAGTGTGTACACGAACGAATACTTTATGTGCAATAATATTCTGTGCATAATATGTAGTATAGTACGAGATCTGTACAATAACCACTATGGACAATCAAGATTTGCACAACAATTTTCTGTAAAAACAAGATCTGTGCAATCAATCTGGATAAATAAAATCTTAAAAAAAAACGGAACTTCCTTGCGTATATATACTGCATTTCGATATTTACTGTCAATACTAAAAATCTATGTCTTTACGTCATATGTACTATAGGTGTTCAGTAAATATAGGAACGCAATTATAATACTATTCATCAACGATGATCTAGATAGTAACGCTATGTACAGAAAATTGTTGATTAATCACGAGCTTAATTATAATCGATACATTTGTATACAAATGTTTATAGTGTAAGTAAAAATGTAGATATATATACCATAGAATACAAGGCATATCGTTAACATAAGTATCTATTTCTAAGAAAACGGATATTTGCCGAATGAACAAACAACGACAACAAAATCGAATATTTTACTGATTTGACATCTTTTAATTAAATTTCTTATAATTATGTCACTAATTAAAAGAAAAATATAAAAAGCGATGTTTTTCAATCTTAGTGTAATTTTATATATCTCTATCTTTTTTTACTTTTAATTTAGTTTATATATAAAGTTTTTATGTATATTTATATGTTTTAATACTTTTATTTATAGTTTTTTTATTCGTTTGTGAAAGCAAATATTCTGTCTTCGAGAGTGTTAGTACGGACTTCCGTGATCGCTGTTTGTTCATTGTGCACATGCCTTAAAAAATTTTGTCGTATTTGAGATTGTGCCATAAATACAGTGGCTCTAAAAGTATTGGCAATCTCACATTTTTAAAAATATCTTTATATAGTGACTTTATAGTTATTATATAACAATATTTTTAAAAAATGTGAGTGTGCAAATATTTTTTGGAGCCACTATATACACACACACATACATAAGTCTTATGTATAAACATGTAAGAGAGAAAGAATATAAAAAAAAGATCTGTTGAGATCTTTACCTCGCCTTGCGACTTTTACACACACACGGCCTTTGAGGAAAAATTAAAAGTACCAATAAATTATTATTATTTTTTTAATTATTTTTATTTTTATTCTCGTTTTTACATTCTTGTAAAAAACAAAGACTGAAAAACTTTACTATTGTTATTTTTTGCACTCTCACAGCTGACATACGCGTGTTGTCTGTAAGATATCTGTACATGTTTTATACTAATAGTGAATAAAATTGTTTGTGTTAATGATCATTCTTTGAGTGAGAGTTTTCTCTTTAAATTGAAATAAAAGACGAAGTCTATTTCCATTTATTGAGAGCGGAGGCGCGATACTTGCTCAACGAACTCTCTTTGTCGTCCTGAAGTGCCAATTCTTCGTCGATCAGCAGTTCGAAGTTTCCCAGAGCTTCCGGCAAAGGCGTTTTGTTCCACTTTACGCTGATTACAATTGATCATATTTAATATTGTAGATTTATTTACATGTTCTTAGATAATTATATATAATAAAATTTTTATATGATATTTTTATATGATAAAATATAATAAAAATATAATATAATATTTATATAATAAAATCTTTTATCTGTATATTTGAGATCTGTATATTTTATCTATATAGTTAAGATAAGAATATTGTATTACTCGGGAATGCCATCTGAAGGCAAAACTACTGACACGATATTGTCGATCAATTTGTATTTCAAGATCCTATCGTTCACTGTTGTGGAAGTCAGAGACGGCGAAGCGTTTACCTATGTACAAATCACACTGTCGATATCGAGTCGTAAAGCAGAAAATATTGCATATCACATATTTTCTCTTTGAAAGCAAATTGACGCACTTCGATTAACCATGGCTTCAGCTTGTTGTCAATGATAATATCGTATCCGTAGCACTCGAAACAATGACGATCGTTGTCCATCACCGGCGCAACCGCTTTTAACGAGTGCACGATGCACCAGGAAATATTGGCGAACAATTTCTCTGTGACCATCTTTCCGCGCGTGCTCTCCAAATATAAGCGTAGATTCTGCACGCTCAACTTACCACCATGTTTGCTGTTGTACTCATCCTGAAATTTTTCGCGGTTGACAATCTTTGTAATAGAAATTGTCAATAGAAAAATCAGAAAAATTAACTAGTCACTTCAAGAATTGAGTTTTATGTGTAATTTAAAAAATACTTTTTTTATATGTATATCCGAAAAAATGGAGTGGATCTAACTTAAATTTAACGAGATAAAAAAAAAAAAAAATGGAAAAATAGATTTAATTAGACTCAAATTAAATCTAAATAGATATAAAGTAAATCTAAATAAATATAAGATCTATTAAATTTACACTTTTATATATTATTAAATCTACTTTAGATCTACTCAGATATACTATATTAAAACTACTCAGATTTACTTAGATTTGAGCAGATTTGAACAGATCTGAGGTGATTTAATATAATAGATCTGAGTAGATCAAGAGTAGATCTAATAATAAATAAAAGTGTAAATTCCTATAGATTTACTTATATCTATTTAGATTTACTTTATATTTATTTAGATCTACTTTATATCTATTTAGATTTAATTTAGATCTAATTAGATCTATTTTTCCATTTTTTTATCTCGTTAGATTTAAATTAGATCTAATCCATTTTTTCTCGAGTATACATATACAGAATGTCTGAACCATTTTGATACAGTCAAAGTGTGAAAATAGATTGGGTCAATCTGAACAAAATAGTCATGTATCAATTTTCAAACTCCGCAATAGTTATAATACTAATAATATCAGTTTCAAAACGTCTTACAACGTCTTTCGATTCTCAATCTCCAGCTCCCTCTATTTTGCCATTGTTGTTCCTTCAGGTTTTGCTCTCTCATCTCTCTGTCGATTCCTTCCCTCTAGCTTCTTCTTGGTCTTTTTTTTCTTCTTGTTGAAGACCATTCTAATATTTGCTTCGGTATTCTCTCATTGTTCATCATTTGGACATGTTTAAACAGTATAAGTTCTTTTGTTCTTATATCATCCGTAATTTATGTTGCATTTTTATTACTTTCCTAATTTTTTTATTCGTAATATGATTATTTTATTCGTAATGTTCCAACCTTGATTTTTCTACTGCTCTTCTCCAGAAGTCTATTTCTATTGCATTTAAAAGTCTTCGTGTTTTTTCTTTTATTTGCCATACTTCACTACTACATGTGATGATACTCTTGATAATACTAAAGGATAATAATTATAAAGGAGGATGTTAAAAAGTGGCCAAATTTTGAGTTGGCTCTGGAACTTAAACTATTGATGAGACATTCTTTTTCAGATTTCAAAGATGCGTAAATCTATCATTATTTATTCCAAATGAGATGGGAAAGTTATTAAAAGAGCAATTGAAAATTGCGTGTTTTACAAAAATCTGCTATAAATTTGAATCAATTGTGATGTGATATTTTTTAAAGAAATTTTGAGGAAAGTGAGAGATTACCTCTGAATAAGAATTTATACTTTTTAACATGCAAGTGTCAATGGTTCTTAAGTTTTTATTTATTAAAAACACATGGATTTTATTACAATAAGTAGTGCTATAAGATAAACACAGTTCTTTCAGTGTCGGCGATAGAGCCCGTGTGTAGAACTGTATTTTTTATAGACAAAAAAATGTTTCTTGTTCTCTTTATACATACTTTGGTTACATAGTATGCTATTCATCAGCACAATCGCTTTTCGGCTTTGATTAATGTTCTCTCGTATGGCTTCGTCTAGTAATTTATCACTTGTAAGTTTTAATCTAAGATATTTGTATTCTTTGCAATTTCTAATTTGTTGTTCATTTGTTAGAATTAGATTTTTCTGTTCTCCATCTAAAGCACATGTATTCAATCTTGTCTATGTTAACTTCTAGGCTCCATTTAGCATATTCCTCAGTCAGCTTTCTTATCATGTATTCTATATTGTCTTGTGCAAGAATCACTTGATCATCCGCGAAGCTGAGCGTAAAGAGAGCACAACAGTTAATGATTTATTAATACATGTGACCCTAACACATGCAATCTCCTAACAGCAAGAGGTGAAGCAAACAAGCGAGTGGCGTGTGACAGCTTCTTGCGATCAGCTGATTTTCACAACTGAAAATCATACATGTCTACAGAGTCCGGACTATCGCTTTTCACAGGCTCGTTGGATCACATGTATTAATTAATAACTATTGAGAATTTTACAAAATAACTTTTCTGTTCAGATTTATCCGATCTATCACACTTTGAATGTGTCCATGATGTTCATATAAAAAACGCGATACATACACCGTGTTTTTGCACAGACACGTTCGTCAGATGCACGTACATGTTGTCGAGCTCTTGGACACTAGTATCATACTTAACGGTGCAGAAACGACAAAATCCAAGTTTAAAGAGATATGCTTTGAGCGGCCGAAACGACGTAATAAGAACATATAATCGAAGATCAAATTTCTTGCTGCCAATCAACAACGGATTATCGATGTATCTATAATAAAACTTTACTAATAAAATAATAATTTCACATATATGTGATAATTTCTCATGAAAAGTTATATAAATCACCTCGATATGACGTACGATTCCTTCGTCAAGTTTGGGTTAAACGGAGTTTTTGCTTCGCGCGACCACTTTTTTAATTTGCTCAGCTTGTTGATTAAAAATATCCCGGCACCCTGTGATTTGCCGCAGGGCTTCATGATCCATGTGCTCTGCGGTAACTTGCGATACTCTTCCACGAACATGTTGTAATCTTGACATAGTCACGCGAGAATAACTTACATAATTTCGAAATTAAGCTTATTTTTGACAAAACTTGAAAACAACACGGTTTACCTGCAGGCAGAACAAAAGTGACAGGAATGAAATCGAGATATAGATATTTGCCAGGACTCTCTGCGCGCTCCGCCAACGGATTTCCTTCGCGCTCTAGGTCTCTTCGATATCGTTTGATGTTTTTTACCAGCAGATCTTTTCGTGTGAGTTCGTAGTGATTTGGAAAATGATTAATGATTCTGATATACATACGAATTAGTTTTCTGTCATAATTTAAATTTAAATAATAATGTGTGTTATATCTGACATGATCTTACTGATTGTCATCCATTCGATATCCCGTTTCGACGCTGAAAATGTTTCTGCAAGACTGCGTTACAGCCCTACATATTTATATAAAAACAAAAACAAAAAATTGTGGTTTATAATTATATATTTATTATATATTTGTTTTCTGTTCATTTTTTCCTATTACCAATAAAAATTCCAGTCATCCTCCGGACCGACTTGTGTCCAGCCACGTTTCTCAAAATTATGCACAATCACGGATTTGTCGACGTCGGTACAGAATGTGATCCTCGTTCGGTCCATTTTAATGGATTCTATTGTTACGGGAACTTTTCTAATCGTAACTCGCAATAATTGAGAAATTACTGTTTAAGAGTCATCGTTAAAAAATTCTGAATGTTTTGCACATTGCAAACAGAGGGACGACTCTCTGTGCAAGAATTTTCAATTATCATGGCAAATATAAATTAAATAAATTCTATACAAATTTGCATACAAATATCTTAGAATAATTTTCTTATGACTTCAAGTAATAACACGTTTCGTTATTTGCTACTTTAGAAATAATATTTTTAGTAATCATATATTCTTTTTTACCTAGTCTGAACAGCAGCGACTTTCGAATTCTGAACAGTCCGTTTGTTCTCTGCAATCGCGTTCGACGCCATATTCGTGATACTTACGAGTTTGTTTGATCGATTTAAAGCTTTACATTATTACTTTAAATATGATACAATTATGAAAAAAGATGTTTTATTATTTTTATTTTTATTCCACTTTTATTAAATTTGACGATGTAGTGACAAAAACATTACAATTTCTGGCAATCAAAATAATAATAATTTTTAATTATTTTCTATGGTTTCTCTCTCTACAGTATTTTCAAACTTGCGCATATGCCGATTTTACGTGTTCCAGTGTTCACGTTCATGAACGCTGAGATGACTACATTTTGTGCACACGAACTATACGAGCCAATCCATTTAATAAAAATGTTATCTTACCGATTGATTTGGTTCTGTTTCGTGCTATGTATTCACCTTCTATCGCAATCATCGATTCAAAGTTATTCAACATTTAAATAGGTAGTATATGGACACAGTGTATATATAACCAGTAGTGGCATTCCGTGTCGGCTCTTTTGATTTTAGCATCCGAGATCACGTGTCATGTCGCCATGTTCTTGGTAGTAGTAACGTGCTAATATTTAAAGTATGAAAAAAGAAGACAACTATAGAAACACTTATTTTTATGTTATATAATCGCAATTTTCATATCTTCTGAAATCGATATTGGAAATTAGCAAATATAACATTAAAATAATGCAAGTAATCATATGCAAATAAGTGAAAAAGAAAAGTGAGAAGTAATAATATTAAGAATTAGTTTTGTATTTATAAGAAACAAGTATTATTTATAATTTTTATTTTATTTATAAGCAAATTAATGTAGGATAAACGACCCAATTACTATCACTCTAAGCCATTTTATTTAAAATATTAAATAAATCCTAAAAAGTTATGCATGAAAAAAAATCTAACAGAATTTTAAGTGTAATTAATATAATAAAAAATCCAGCACTCAACATTCTTGTCTCATTTCTTTCATTTTAGGGGTGACAGTAATAGCTCTCGCATCGTTCTTTTTTAATTATTAAATTTAAAAATAAAAATAGAGATTTTGAGAGGCGGTATTATTTTGTTTCTTATATTAGAGACGTTGAATAATACCAGATAAGAAGAAAAACACATGTTTTTGATAAATAAATAGTAAAAACAATTCGCTAACGCCAGAGTTTATTATTCAGATGACAGTAATTGGGTCTTTTACCCTAAGCATTTTACTTTACAATTGAAGTGTGTCTCACACAGCACACTTTATCTTGCGGATATTCCAAAATGATCCGGATTTTCAAGTGCAATCCCAGAGATATCCCAATAAGTAAATTTCGGGATATTACAATGAGATATTTTATGCAAAGCCAAGAGATATAGCAGGATATTTTGTGCATATTATGAGATTTATACCAAATATTCCAAATATATCTCATAGAATTAAAGAATCTTTTAAGGCTCCGAAGTTTCCAAACTAATAAATATATATTCGGTCATGAGAGCCGTTCGCTAGGTGTTGTGCGGAAATTATACGTGTATATATATACATATATACGTGTTCACGTGTA